ACAAGATCAGCAAAATGCTGATCCGAGAGTAATTCGCTCGAATGAGGCCCCTGTGTCGTGACACTTCAGGGTCAGCCGTGTTCCAAGCAGAACTGCAAGCAGAAAATGTGTGTAGACAGCACTGCAGAAGTGCTTTGATCGCTGCAGGGCATCATGCTGCAGATCCGTAGGAGCAGGAGAGCACTGCAGAAGTGCTTTGATCGCTGTAGGGTTGTGCCTCTGGTTTTCTCCATGTCGTGTCTGCATGCAGTCAAGAAAGATAGTTGCCCGTCGGTTTGCTCAGATCTGGGCCCTGCAGTATAGTTTGGAGAAAACTCCGGCCTCCCTCCTCGATCGTGACTATGGCGAGCCTGCTCGATGTTATGGCCGGCATGAACATGGGCGGCCTTGGTGGCTGTGGCGCAGGAGGTAGTGGAGGTCCTGGCGGTGGCGGCAGGGACCTGGACCCGAAGAAGCAGCTCTTGCTGAGCCTCCTCTCTGAGGTTGGCCTCTTCGAGCAGGATGACGATCAGGATGAGGCTGCTGGGCTTCTCCGCCAGCTGCTGAACTCGCGAGAGCGGCGGCTTGCTCGGCGAAAGCAGGACGAATGCCGCTGCTAAACCTTAAAAGGCCTTTAACCCTATAAGCCCTAATATCCTAAACCCTTTAAGCCGAATAAGCCGTGAACCCTACACCCTGCTAGTATACCCTGCAGAAGGGTAAACCCTTACGGCCTTCAAAAACCCGCTAACCCTAAACCCTAAACCCAAACCTAAACGTTCAATTATATTCGCTGCAGAAGCGAATATAATTCAACTGCAGGAGCAGCTCGAGACCCGGGCGGATTGGGTCTATCGCCTCCGGGGGAACAAGGGCATGGGTGGCTTCCAGCAGCTCCTGCGTGGCTTGCTGCAGCAACAGTGACGATCGTGCAGCCGACGCCCAAGCCGCCTGCGCCGGTGAATGACATCCAGGCACAGCTGGTGACTGCCTTGCTGGGGCATCTGCAGCAAGGGGGGATGTTCGAGGGCACGACTGCAAAATCTGCCCCTCCGCCACCGCCTTCTACTCCCCCGCCTTCGACTCCCACGCCGAGCTGGCTCCGGTGGCTCCGGTGGTGGCTCCAGCTGGAAGAATTCGGGCGGTGGTGGCTCCAGCTGGAAGAATAAATGGCCCGAGCAGAGCCAGCGGCGGCAAAAGTCTGGACAAGAAGGGCAATGTCGATGATGCCACGCCGGTTAAAGCCATGCCGGCCGTGCCCAGAGCGAAAGCTGCTGCAGAGCAGTCGGATGCAGAGAAGCCGGCTGCAGAGAAGCCGGACACAGACAAGCCAGATGAGAAGCCGGATGCAGAGAAGCCTTCCGCAGACAAGCCTGCAGCAGAGAAGCCGGCAGAGCCTGATGCCGCAGAATCTTCGGCACCTTCCGCACCGTCCGCTGCTGCCCCGCCAGAGCCAGACGCTGCAGTGGCCGTGGACGATGAGGAGGATGTGGCACCGGAGCCAAAACACCTCTGCAACAAACGCCGCAAAAAGGCTCGCAATTAGGATCGCAGCTAAAGGCTGTCTGCATTTTGCACTTAGGGTGCCGCCGCAGAGGATCGAGATCTGCAGGACTCGCTCTTCCCTGTGCCAAAATCGAGATCTCTATGTTCCAGGCAGTTTTCCGGTTTCAGGTTTGAGGCTTCAGGTTTGAGGTTCAGTGCATGCAGCCAGGGGTTTCAGAGGGCACTGCAGAAGTGTCTGGTCGAGTTTGCATATCGAAGGCAGTTTTCAGGTTTGAGGTTTGAGGCTTCAGGTTTGAGGTTCAGTGCCTGCAGCCAGGAGTTTCAGTGGGCCCTGCAGAAGTGTCCGGTCGAGTTTGCATATAGCAGAAGTCGTCGTGCTCCTCCCCGCTGCTTTTCCCATGGGTGCATGGAGCTATATGCAAAAACACCTTATCCGCTCGAACCTTAAACCCTGAACCCGCAACCTTACAAACCCTGACCCTTAAAACCCTTACGGCCTGCCTCGTCCTGCCATGAAGCGACCGGCTTCGAGCGAGCTTGTCTCCGAGACTGGCAAGAAAGCCGCTGATCGCAACACCCCAGGGCCCGAGAAGGAGAAGAACCAGGAGCGGCCACCGACAAAAGCAGCAAAGGAAACCACCGACTTGGACGACGATAGCCAGACGACCTTGGTGCTGGGTGAGCACCTGAAGGAGGACTGAGGGTTATATGCATATATATATATATATTTTTTTCTGTCTGCATGTTCGCCCTACCAAAGGAGACAGTGGCACTTGAATGCTGTCTTCCTCGTGCCGTTGGCCGGGCATGGGGCTGTGCAGTGTAGCGGCAGCGAGCAGAGGAATTTTGAAGTCAACTCGGTTTGTGCCGACCGAATGACAGTCGAACGATGAGCTAACGCGTCGACTGGGATTTCACTCTGCGACGTACTGCAGGTGTGGGGAATCTCATGCCG